AGTGGATAAACAATATAAAAGCAGATCTTAGTGGAGAATTTGACATGAAAGACCTAGGAAAGGCTAAAAGGATTCTAGGCATGGAAATAGAACGAAATAGGTCAAATTCCATCGTATTCTTACATCAGTCCCCATACATATCAAAAGTAAGTTTAATATGAGTGACTGCAAACCTGTCACGTTGCCTCTTGCAAATCATTTTGTTCTATCTAAGGAACAAGCTCCTTGCAATGAACGTGAATTGGAATACATGAGTAAAATTCCATACTCAAATGTGATTGGTTCCATAATGTATTTGATGGTTTGCACTAGACCGGACTTAGGATTCGCTATTAGTACTCTCAGTAGGTACATGTCTAATCCAGGTCCTGAACATTGGGAAGCATTAAAGTGGCTTTTAAGATATTTGAAGGGTACAAGTGACGTGGGTCTAAAATTTAGTGCTAATAAAGAAGGCGTGAAATTAAAGGGTTTTGTAGATGCTGACTATGCAGGAGATAGGGATGGTAGGAAATCAACTTCCTCTTACGTATTCACCTTATCAAATTCGTGTGTTAGTTGGAAATCACAGTTACAACACATAGTTGCACTATCCACTACAGAGTCAGAATATATTGCCACCACTGAAGCAATTAAAGAGGCTCTATGGCTTAGAGGTCTACTTCATGAACTGAGTGTCTTGAATGAGTATGTGGTTGTGTACTCTGATAGTCAATCATCCATACATTTGTGTAAAAATCTTGTCTTTCACGAACGCACTAAACATATCGATGTTAGGTTACACTTCATTAGGGATATAATATCACAAGAAGTAGTAAGACTTGAAAAAATTCACACACAGTACAATCCTTCAGATATGGGCACGAAAGTGCTGTCACTGGTGAAGTTTAGAAGTTGCAAAGAGCTTCTAAACATCGGTACAGGTAAATGATTTCAATTTTATNNNTGTTAGACATTATGTTGTCAAACGACCCCCGGGCGATGATGAGAACCAATTTTATCAGTCGACATAAATGACTGAACGATAATTCAACATCGAATAATGGATGAACCGACCAAACGTTGCCTTACCTATTGGACGGCTAATATTCTTTGTGGCTTGTTGAT